TGTAAGCGAGATTTCCTGAAGTTCTTCCTGAATTCCCGGTATTTCGAAAGACTCGATGATGAGATACGGCAGCGTGTTCAACGGCCCAGAGAGGCATTTAAGGACTATGTACTAGCGCTACAAGGGCTAATGCGTCATTCCGACTATACGGAGGCACAAAAGCTTCGACGCATCTATAAGAACTGCCGAAGCGAATACCAGCTGTATATTAAGCAAACTGAATTCAACACTCTTGGAGATTTGGTAAGTCTGGCCGAAGACTACGAGAATATTGTAGCAGAGAAGGAGTCGCAACGAGCATTGCCCCGCGCAATAACCCCGAGACGAAATGAGGAGCGCAACTACACTATCCGAGAGGAGCAGCGAAGAGAGAGGCATACGATGCCAGCCAGACGGCACGATGGAACCGATTTTGCGCCACCTACGGAACACCAACGTAAAAGCGAAGGATCTAGCCGAGTAAACCCACGAACGGCGTGCAGACGATGCGGCGAAGACGGACATTTCGCCTACGAATGTCGCAACGATATCCAGCAATTCTGTTGGACGTGTGGTCGGCGGAACATTCGAACTTCAGACTGTTGCCGTGGGAAACAGGGAAACGGCCAAGGACCCCATTCGCGAAGAAGAGTGGGGTCTCCACTAATGTAACCTCAGTCAATGTAACACCAATTCTTAAGCAAGCGGAAGGGCGAGTAATCGCCAGAGCAACAGTGGATGGTAGAGCAGTATTAGCGGCGGTTGATACGGGAGCAACAAGAAGTTTTGTAAGCATTAGAGCAGCGAACACCCTGGGAATCGAGCGGTCACGAAGAGTGAACAAAAGAGTGGTGATGGGAGATGGCAGACCAATAGCGGTCACAGAAGCGATAGAGGCGGTAGTAAAGGTGGGCGATCAAGAGCATAGGAGCGAGTTACTCGTCCTACCAGGTTTAGTCGATGACATGGTCCTTGGGACTGACTACCTGGCAAAGGCCAACACAACAGTGAGCTGCGGAGGGCAGACATTGACGATGAAGGCAGAGGACGACATTCGAACGAAGGCTGCATGTACCACGATGTTAGAGGTGCGCGAAGTAGAGAGAGCTGAGGAAGGCGAAAAGGCTGCAAATGAACAACCCACATCCACCGAGGATACGATGGAAGTCGAAAATTTCTTAAAGAAGGAGTTGCTCGCATTCGAGAAGATGACGGGGACGACAAACATCGCCGCCCATAAGATTATAATGCGAGATGATCGACCCATAAAACAGCGCTACTTTCCCAAAAACCCGAAAATGCAGGAAGTAATAAACAGGGAGGTCGACGAATTAATAGAGAAGCAGTGCATCGAGCCCTCGCATAGCCCACACAGCGCGCCAATCGTGCTCGTAAAGAAGAAAAACGGAAAGTGGAGACTTTGCGTGGACTATCGGCAACTTAACGCGCGCTCGGTACCGGATGCGTACCCACTCCCACGAATCCAACACATTTTGGATCGACTGAGAAGCGCTAAATTCATTAGCAGCCTGGACTTGAAGAATGGGTATTGGCAAATCCCGATGGAAGAGAGTAGTAAGGAGTATACTGCGTTCACTGCGTACAGCGCCTGCGACGTTTCAACGAGCGCTGGACAAAGTCATCGGACCAGAACTGGAACCGCACGCGTTTGCTTATCTGGACGATATTATCATCACGAGTGCGACGCTAGACCAACACATGGAACACCTGAAAGAAGTGTTTCGACGATTGCGGCAGGCGAACCTCAAAATCAACCCAGAGAAATGTGAGTTTTTCCAAAAGAGTTTGAAATACCTGGGTCATGTGGTGAGCGAAGAAGGGATTCACACCGACCCTGACAAGATTGCGGCGATTAAAGAATTGACACCGCCAACAAACACACGTGAATTACGGCGCTTTCTGGGCGTAGCGTCATGGTATCGGCGATTTGTTCCGGATTTTTCGCACATTGCACACCCTCTGACGTCATTACTGAAGAAAGGAAGCCGATGGAAATGGGGCAATGAACAGCAGACGGCCTTTGAAAAATTAAGGTGCGCACTAACGGAAGCACCGGTATTAGCCTGTCCAGAATTTTCCCAGCACTTCACGCTACAAACCGATGCCAGCGATTTTGGACTAGGTGCAGTACTGACACAGGAGTTAGATGGCGCAGAGCGAGTCATAGCCTACGCTAGTCGACGGCTGAATAAGGCAGAGCAAAACTACTCGGCGACTGAAAAGGAGTGTCTGGCCATTGTGTGGGCTATACGGAAAATGAGACCGTACCTGGAGGGTTACGCATTCACGGTTATCACCGACCACCTGTCCTTGAAATGGCTGAATGCGATCGAGAGTCCCTCAGGACGCATTGCAAGATGGGCACTAGAGCTCCAGCAACACACATTCGATGTAAAGTACCGCAAGGGTAAGTTGAACGTCGTTGCCGATGCACTGTCACGACAACCCCAAGACGTACAGCTCAACATATTAGTGCAGGATAAAGAGGCAAAGGCCTGCAAGTGGCTGACCGAGAAAATGGCAGAGGTGAAGAGGACACCAGCAAAGTTCCCGGACTACACAATTGTAAACAACGAACTGTATCGACACATCGCAGTCCAGATGGATGATGAAGACACGATACCGTGGAAGCTATGCGTGGCAGCGCCACTACGTGAGAGAGTACTGAAGGAAGTTCACGATAGTCCAAGCGCAGGACATATGGGCATCCGCAAGACGATAACGAGAGCGACGGCACGTTACTACTGGCCCGGAATGTTCAGGGACATAAAGAGGTATGTCCGACAGTGTACTACCTGCCAGATTTACAAGCCCAGCCAACAGAAAGCTGCGGGAAAGATGCTGACCCAGATCGCAGAAGAACCTTGGGCTACAGTATGCGCAGACTTTGTGGGACCATTGCCACGATCAAAGCACGGAAACACAACCGTACTAGTCCTTATCGACAAGTTTTCCAAATGGGTGGAAATTGTGCCTCTACGGAAAGCGACAGCTGAAGGCCTCAACAAAGCGTTTCGAGAACGCGTACTCGCTAGATTTGGAGTCCCGAAAATTGTTATAACTGACAATGGAACACAGTTCACCAGCAGAGAGTTCAAACGGCTACTACGAGAGTACGGGGTTAAGCATCAACTCACCGCGCCATACACGCCACAAGAAAATCCGACGGAAAGAGCAAACCGCAACATAAAGAGAATGCTTGCACAGTTTACCGGAAAAGAACAGCGAAATTGGGACGACTTACTACCCGAAATGACACTAGCACTTAATACCAGCGTTTGCGAAGCCACCGGCTACAGTCCTGCCTTCTTAGTGCAAGGACGCGAGCCGCGAGTACCAAAAGCCCTCTACGACGAACAAACTTTCGGTACAGGCCAAACGACGACGACACCAGAGGCGAAGGCAACGAAAATGCGAGAGATATTTGAGATGGTAAGGCGAAACCAGCAGACAGCGTCGATCGAGCAAGCGCGTCATTACAACTTGCGCAGGAGGAAATGGCGACCAGTGGTAGGTGACCGAGTGCTGGTGAAGGAGCATCACCAATCGAAGGCGACGGAGAACTTCGCGGCAAAACTTGCACCCAAGTATGCTGGGCCGTACCGAGTGATGAACTTCGTTTCGCCAGTAATCGTCGAATTAGACAAGGTACACAACGGTAAGAGGAGAACAGCACATCTGAGTGAGCTGAAGCCATTTTACGGCGATGAAGAGGCCGACGCGGCAGAGTCACCAAAAATCCTCCCCCGG